ATGATGAGGTTGGAGTGAGATCGAAAGGGATATCGTTAGGGGAACCGATAATGAGATCGATAGTGAGATCGCTGGTGAGATCGATAGTGAGACCGGCCGAGAGAGATCGATGATGAGATCGATTGTGAGATCGATGGTGAGATTGATCGAGTGAGTTCGATTGAGTGAGACCGATAGAGAGATCGATACTGAGATCGATAGTGCAAGAGGCGGCGCGGGCTGCGCCAAGCTTTGCCAGCGCTTCAGTCTTCTGTGGCCAAATGGCGCCGTTAGCTGCCGTTGAGCAGGTTGGGCAGGTTCCCAGGGGAAGGGTGACGTAAACAACTCGACACCAACGCCCCCAAGAGCGAGCGGCAACGCAACTATCTCCACTTGCATTGTCACAACAACATTCACCACTGTTGCCCATTGCTGGGCCCCCCCCAACCTCCTTATCACCCGCAGGGTGGTCGTATAGGTATACACATAGAGAGTGAGGGGGCCGAACGGTCATTCACTGTCCCTGGGTGCGTGGCTGAAGTGGGGATCTACGGCGAGAATTATGCTTGTTGTTGGGCCGTCCCCCCCGCGACCCGCCCGCGACCCATCCGCGACCCACTCCGTGACCCACCCGCGACCCACGCGCGACCCACCCGCGACCCACCCCGAGACCCACCCGCGACCCACCCGCGACCCACCCGCGACCCACCCCGCGACCCGCCCGCGATCCACCCGCGACCCATCCGCGACCCACCCGCAACCCACCCGCGACCCAGTCGCGACCCACCCCGCGCCCCACCCCGCGTCCCACCCGCGTCCCACCCCGCGACCCGCCCGCGATCCACCCGCGACCCATCCGCGACCCACCCGCAACCCACCCGCGACCCACTCGCGACCCACCCCGCGACCCACCCCGCGTCCCACCCGCGTCCCACCCGCGACCCACCCGCGACCCACCCGCGAACCACCCGCGACCCACTCCGCGACCCACTCACATGCTTTCGCGAAAACAGGCGCCTGCGGCGGCCTTCTTCAGAGCCTCGCGGACTGCAGGCGTCCCCGCCGCCCTCTCACGCTTATCCGCGACTGCGGGGTCCTATCTATATATATATATATATATATATACACAGATTCGCCCCCAAGGGGGCAACATCGAAGACGAAGAGGGTGGGTATCGAGGGTTTGGGATATGCGTGTGGAATGGCCCGCGAACGCATAACAATCATAACATGGTTGATGTTGTCGTTGTCGTCGTCGGCCCGCGACGTCCCCGCGACCCACCCGCGACCCCGCGACCCCCCGCGACCTCCCCAGCGACCCGCCCGCGACCTCCCCAGCGACCTGCCCGCGACCCGCCCGCGACGTCCCCGCGACCCACCCGCGACCCGCCCGCGACCCACCTGCGACCCACCCGCGACCCACGGGCGACCCACGGGCGACGCACCCGCGACCCAGTCGAAACCCGCCCGCGCCCCGCCCGCGACCCACCCGCGACGAACCCGCGATCCACCCCGCGTCCCACCCACGACTCGTCCGCGACCCACCCGCGACACACCCTGCGACCGCCCCCTCACTCGTATGCGCAACTGCGGGGTGCTACAAATGTATGTATGTATGCATGTAAGTATGTATGCATGTATGTATGCACGTATGCATGCATGCATGCATGCATGCATGCATGTATGTATGTATGTATGTATGTATGTATGTATGTATGTATGTACGTATGTATGTATGTATATATATATATATGTATATAACTCGGTCGATCGATACATACATACATACATACATACATACATACATACATACATACATACGTACATACGTACATACGTACATACGTACATACATACATACGCACACATACATACATACATACATACATACATACATACATACATACATACATACACACATACATACATACATATATACATACACATACATACATACATACATACATACATACATACATACATACATACAACCATACACACATACATACATACATGCATGCATACATGCATACATACATACATACATAGTTTTACGTGTATATGCATATATGGATATCGACGTATCTTCATACACGTCTGTATGTATGTAACTATATATCCCTGTCTGCCTACATATGTGCACACTTGTTAATCGATCTGTCTATGTATAAATCTGCCTATACATGTCTATATATATACGCATGTCAATCGATATGGCCAACGCTAACTGCATTTAAGTATGTCTACATATATGTACATGAGCCATATATAGATATATGTATATGTACGTCTAAGAATTTACCAACATACATGTATATACGTAACTAAGTATATAGATTAATGCACACATATATAGGTACACGCGTGTAAGTATGATGTATACAATTCTTTTACATACGTCGACACACACATATATATGTATACATGGATGTATCAAGATATGTACAGACATCACTCGATATGAATCCATATATCGATCTAACAATCTACTCGCGTCACGAGGGGATCTGAAGAGAGCGCGCCTCTTGATGGTGAGGTACTCACCCTCCAGGTGCATGCGCCGGCCCGCCAGCGTGAGCTCGTTCCACCGCAGGTCGTGGGGGCTACCCGCCCACCCGCACTGCGTTGCGACACTCGTGATGGTCGGATACCTCGGCGAGGCGCCGCAAACATGGCGGGCGGCGGTGGCGGCAGCCGCCTGGCCGTCGACTGGCTGGCGGCTGTCAGCGGCGGCCAGCGGCTGCTCGGCAGCGGCTGCGCGGCGGCGGCCTCCGACAAGCTGCCGGCGGCCGGCGCAGTGTCGCGACAGTGAACCCAGCCGCCATGCGGAGGTCGAGGGAGGCTCTGGCTGTCTGACTGGGCCACCTGGCTTCGCCTGGCGCGTGTGGCCGAGCTCACGCGCGGCTAGCCCGAAGGCCCCCCCTGCCCGAAGGGCCCAGGCGCGCCGACGTACGCGCCCAAGGGCACACGCAGAAGAGACGGACATGGGAATCACGAGCGTGCGCCCACAGCGGCCGCAGAAGATCCAGGCCTCGAGACGCAATAAGTTCTCGATGGTTGATGGAACCCGGGGTTCTGCTGCATCTTCGGGGGACCCTGTCTGTCCCGTCGCGCCGCGATCCACATCGAATCCGTGTCAAATCCGTGTCGAGCGAGCCGAATCCGTGTCGAATCCGTGTCGAGCCCTCGTCGAATCCGCGCCGAAGCCACGTCGGAGTTCAAGAAACGACGGCCACTTACTGGACAGGCAAGGTCCCCCGAAGCTGCAAAATAAGCGGGGGTTCTCGCCGCCGACCGGTTTGGGCCCGGGGGGCCCACGGCACCTCGATGAGAGGCAGGCGGCCTGCGGACGCGCATGCCCCTCAGCCAGGCGGTCTCTCACCGCGAAGGGCGACGGCCGGCCCCGTCTCTTCGGAGACGTGGGCCAGGACAAGAGGGTCGGCGCATCGTGACCCGAGGCACGTGCGCGGACGAGGGTGGCAGAGGGGCAGGGGGCGAAGAGGAGAGGAGAGAGGCTGTGACATCTGCGAGACTTCACGGCCCGGGCCACGGGCCACGGTGTTCCCTTCCCCCCTCCCCCCCCCACACGCACGCACAACTGGTCCTCAGCCCCCCTCTTCGGCGCCCCCGACGCTGGACCCAACCGTTACCCAAAGCTGCTTCCCGTCCAAGACTTTGGACGTCCGAAATAAATACGGAAAACATGGGTACAATGCCCGACAACAAATGTTGTCCCAAACCAACAGCGGCCGCTGTTAGGCAGGCGGCTTTGGGGTGTCTTCAGTGGTGAACAACGTCCGCGGGGGCGCGGGCAGCGAGTCTGATTCAAAAAGGTCAGGAACTGTTGTTGGGCATCGTACCCATTCTTTCCGTACCCATGTCGGTCGCCCCGAAGGACAAGCCCTTGGATGCTCCAGGGGCGCAGGAGCCAGCCACCAGACGCCGAAACTCTGGAGAGCACGCGCTTCCGTTAGGTCGGGCATGCCCCCCTACAGGCGGAGTTTGGACAAAAATAGCACGTATAGTCGAAACACATGACAAAAACAATCAGTTCCCCCTGCGTAGAGGGACACGCCCGACTTCAGCTCTGGCGAGCACGCGCTTCCGTCCCCGGAGACTCCCGAGAGCGCCGGAGGCCCGGGCCCCCCGCGGCGCCGCGCGAGCCGAGCCCAAGACCACGGCAGCACGAGGGCCACTGGCCGCGCTGCGGCAGCGGCAGGGCGGGCGGCACGACCGGGCACTCCCCAGGCGCGTGCCCCCCCCCCTCTGCCAGAGGAGCATCGCTCCACCGATCCCCATCCCCACCAGCGTGGGCTGGGCCGCACTGGCCGATTTACCCCCCTGATGGGGATATCGGCTGCTCTCTTCGGGCTTCCAGGGGCATATCCCCAACTGAGGTGGTGAGACGGTGGGGCTCGAGATGTGGATGAGGATGGGGATAGGGATCGGTTAAACGATACTGACTAAGGGAGATGTTCAGGAGATGCTCTGGAGATCTCTGCACCGCGGAGATGTTCCGCAGATCTCCCTGGAGATTCTTTGAGCCAGAGATTCTCCAGAGATTCTGTGCCTGGCCAAACCGAGTTTGGAGATTTCCCTTGAGATTCTCCAGAGAGGTTTCGCCCAGAGGGTTCTGGTCGCGTTTGCCATATTGACCCAATCTAACTCTCTATAGGGAGGTGCCCTGGGCTGCGTTCCTTCCTCTGACCTCTCCTCCTCCTCAGACACCCAGCGGCTCGGAAAGACCCAAACGGCTGATTGCCGCCGAGTTGAGACCTGTGGAGGCCCGATTCGGGCTCCGCGATCGTGACGAAACGAATCAGAATGAAAAGCCAGCCAGGGGGGTACAGGCTCGAGAGGTCCTGTGGCCCAGGTTTCGGAAAGGCCGAGACGCCATGTGTCTGGGTCTTCAACCTCCTCCGCATTCCTTGACCCTCACGGCGCACCAAAGGCACTCGCACACTGGCGTGGCACGCCGAGAGTTCGCGATGGGCAGGCCGTAGTGGCAGCCAACCGAAACAATGCAGAAGTCGTACTGTATCCTCAGGTCTTCGATGCCAGCGTCCCTGCGTTTCACGATGACCACATCGTTGTCGATGCCACTGGCGTATCCGCAAACAAACATCACATCAATCCTAGAGCAATACTCGGCGTAGTCGAAAACGAGCTCTGCGTGCTTCGAGACATCCGTGAAAGGGCGGTGCATTCCAGGCGTGAACTCGAAATACTCCTTCGCATCGATCAGCGTGACACTCCTGAACCTCTTCCTTAGTCGGCGGGCCGATTGCATGCCAGCAAAGCCTCCGCCGATGATGACGATGTTCTCGCCCATGCTGCTGCTGGACGTGGCGTAAACTTGGCGACTCGCCTCCACGTGCGCCTCCTGGGCGCAGCCTGTCCTCCTCTCATTCTGGGGAGCTCAGCCATTGGACCTGTGCACACACGGCTTGAGCCTGGAGAAGCGCAGCCCGAAAATAAAACGCGGCCAGCGTGGCACTGCCGAAATGGTCAGTATCGAGGAACTTGCCCAATCCAGGCGAAGGCGGGCCGGTAACCGTCTTTGTGTACATCACTGCCGCCGCCGTCGACTTCGGCATTACAACTTTGCCGGATCATGCATGCAAATGCCTAAGCGTGTCAATTGTGTTCACCCCGTGGATACAGATCGGCACGGAACGCATCATCGCTCCGTTGGATTGCGTGCTCTTGTTGCTCACCTCCGGGTGCCAGCCTGGCTGTGGCTGCTGTTGCTGCTGATCGGGATCTGTCTGTCTTTGGCAGGGGGGCTCACGGGCAATCCGAACCAAGATGCAATCGTGTCAACAAATCGTCGAAGCAAAACAATGTTTGGCCCTGCAACAGACAGCATGGTGCAACACGGGTTCGGCTTGCACGTACTGCTGTTACCAGGGAACCAGTTCTGAGGGCAGCCGCCCAAGGAACACCTACTAAAGAAACATGCGTATGTAGCCCCCCGCAGATGCGGATAAGAGTGAGGGGGCGGTGGGGACGTCTGCAGTTTGCGAGACTCTGGAGAAGCCCGCCGCAGGCGCCAAAATTTCACAAATTATATAACAAGCCCGCCGCAGGCGCTGATTTTGTGCGTTAAACCAATGTGGGTAGGTAGCGGGTGGGTCGCAGGTGGGTCGCGGGTGGGTCGCTGTTTCGCGGGTGGGTCGCGGGTGGGTCGCGGGGTGGGTCGCGGGCGGGTCGCAAGTGGGTCGCGGGGTGGGTCGCCAGTGGGTCGCAAATTGGTCGCGGGGCGGGTCGCGGGGTGGGTCGCGGAATGGGTCGCGGGTTGGGTCGCGGGTTGGGTCGCGGGGTGGGTCGTGGGTTGGGTCGCAGGGTGAGTCGCGGGGTGGGTCGCTGGGTGGGTCGCGGGATGGGTCGCGGGGTGGGCCCCTTGTGGGACGACGACAACAAACAACAACAACAACAACAACAATCATTTAAGACTGGGGACACTCCGTTCTCACCAGTGCCAGGGTTTTCATAGGAGGCGGACAATACCCCCACTTTGTGGGGGGGCCGGTTCAAGCTCTACCAAGTTTCCAAACGACTCTTCGCCACCACCCACACCCAGCTTCCCGCCCTATGACGTTCGGACACTTCACTTCGTGGCCTGCGGACGACCTTGGCTACTACACTGGCGCATGGTTTCAATGACTTGTTGTGGTAACATTTTGTGGAAGCTAGCTTAGTATACGACTTATACCCCTGTTCCAACAATGGACACGTGTACCGTTTTCCGACGTTTTCCGTTTTTCCGTTTGCTTGAAGATTTCGGCGTGCGCGCGCAAAGAAAAAACGAATGTGTCCGGGAAGGTATTATTTGACAGGGATGATGACCCTGGCAGGTGCGCAACCGTTGTTGGAGAAGTTCGAAGCACGTGAAAAAGTTGCTCGGAAAAGCCCATTTGACAGAAATGTTTAAAAAGTGTTGGGTTTCCGACAAATCCGCAAGAGCGCGCGGGATGAAATTTTGACACGTTTTTTTTCGAAAAAACATTGTTTTTTTGATGTTTTTATGTTAAAATCGTTAGGAACACTAAGGTTTTGGAAGGATTTCGTCTTGCGCGCGCGAATGTCAACTTTACCTTATTTTTTGCAAGGGATTCTTGACGCTTGGTTATGTTAGAACAAGAAATGTCCACTTTAGCTTATTTTTTGCAAGGGAAAGCGGATTACAACAAAACAACCGGATCCTGTACACACCCTCTTTTCTGAGGCTTCCTCACGAAAATGATGAAAATGTAGCTGCGGCCTAGGCGGCGCAGGGGGGGCGCGCACCAGGGGGCCCAACAATAATTATTCTTTAGAATAAATAATGTTCAACAACAACAACAACAACAACAACAACAACAACAACAACAACAACAATTACTAGCACGTGGGGACACTCCGTTCTCACCAGTGCCAGGGTTTTCATAGGAGGCGGGCAATACCCCCACTTTGTGGGGGGGCCGGTTCAAGCTCTACCAAATTTCCAAACGACTCTTCGCCACCACCCACACCCAGCTTCCCGCCCTATGACGTTCGGACACTTCACTTCGTGGCATGCGGACGACCGTGGCTACTATTCAGGGCCCCGCGGCCGACGACGACGGCGTGCGCGCGCGAAGAAAAAACGAATGTGTCCCGCATGGTATTATTTGACAGGGATGATGGCCCTGGCAGGTGCGCAACCGTTGTCGCAGAAGTTCGAAAAAGTTGCTCGCAAAAGCCCGTTTGACAGAAATGTTTAAAAAGTGTTGGGTTTCCTACGAATCCGCAAGAGCGCGCGGGATGAGATTTTGACATTTTTTTGTTGAAAAACCATTGGTTTTTTGATGTTTTTATGTTAAAATCGCTCCGAACACTAAGCTTTTGGAAGGATTTCGTCTTGCGCGCGCGAATGTCCACTTTACCTTATTTTTTGCAAGGGATTCTTGAAATTTGATTATATTAGAACAAGAAATGTCATTTTATAGTGTTTTTTGCAAGGGAAAGCGGGGGGGAACAAAACAACCGGATCTTGATCACATCGAATTACCTGAGGCTTCCTCACGAAAATGATGAAAATGTAGCTGCGGCCTAGGCGGCGCAGGGGGGCCGTGCACCAGGGGTCCCAACAATAATTATTCTTTAGAATTAATAATGTTCAACAACAACAAAAACAACAACAACAACAACAACAACAACAACAACACCAACAACAACGACGACGACGATGACAACAACAACAACGACAACAACGACACCACCAACAACAACAACACCACCACCACCAACAGCACCAACAGCAGCAGCAACAGCAACAGCAACAACAGCAACAACAACAACAACTACCACAACTACAACAACACCACAAACAACAACAACAACAACAACAACATCATCAACACCACCAACAAAAACAACGACGACGACGACGACAGCAACATCAGCAACAACAACAACAACAATAACAATTACTAGCACGTGGGGACACTCCGTTCTCACCAGTGCCAGGGTTTTCATACGACGCCCGCCCGTTTTGCCGGAGACTTCCTCACGAAAATGATGAAAACATGGCTGCGGCCTAGGCGCGGCGAGGGGGCCGCGCACCAGGGGTCCCAACAATAATTATTCTTAAGAAGAAATAATGTTCAACAACATCAACAACACCAGCAACAACAACAACAATCAATTTAAGACTGTTCGCTCTTACCTGCTCGCGTGGCATTCAATATGCATATCCCAAACCCAGGATACCCGCCCTATTCGTCTTCGATCGTACCCCGTGTTGGGGGTATGTTCATTCCCTGCCACGTATGGTTGGTGAAGCCCTTGGAAACGAATGGAAGCAGATAACGGGGGAGAATGAGGACGAAGGGGTCGGAGGAAGGGAGGGGAGGGGCAAAAAGGAGGGAGGACGATGATTTGCGCTGTGAGTGGCGAGTGTTGGAGCGGGCCACGGCGGGCGCGAACGAGCGGGGGCCCCGAAAGGCATACGTATAGGGGGGCGCAGAGGGCAGCGACGGAGCCGCTGAGGGCAGAGACGGGGCCACGAAGGGCAGAGATGGGACCACGAAGAGCGACAGCGAGGCCACGCAGGGCATGCATATGGGGCCACGACGGGCGCGAACGAACGGGGGCCACGAAGGGCACACATATATGGGGCCAGAAAGGGCGACAGGGGCCGCTGAGCGCAGAAAGTGGGCCACGAAGGGCAACGACGGGGCCACGAAGGGCGACAGCGGGGCGACGAAACGCATGCGTCAGCGAGAGGGCCACGAATATCGACGACGGGGCTACGAAAGGCATGGTTATGGGGTCACGACGGGCGACTCCGAGCGGGGGCCACGAATGACATAGAATGCGGCGCCACAAAAGGCAACAGCGGGGCCACTGAGGGCAGCAACGGGGCCACGAAGGGCAGCGAGCGAAGGCGACCGCGGAACCAGTACGGGCAGCGAGGGGCATCGAAGGCGAGCGAAGGGCAGCGAACGGCGACTGCAGTCCCTAACGGGCTGGTCGGGCGGGCAGGCCCAGACGGGCGGGTCGAGCGGGCGGGTCGTTGAAGCGTAAATTCTGCTTGAACCGCCACGCAATATGCAGCGGGAGCGCGATTCCTAAACGTCGAGGAGCGGTATCTGAATAAATTGTGACGAAGTATCCGGCGGGAGCAGCGATTCGGCGGTAAATTGCAAGGAAGTCCCAAGCGAAAGCGCGATTCTTCAATAAACTGCGAGGAACTATCAGGCGGGAACCGTTGTTGTTGTTGTTGTTGTTGTTGTTGTTGTTGTTGTTGTTGTTGTTGTTGTTGTTGTTGTAAACCGGGGGCCGCTGACACAGTTTGACCCACAAGACTTTCCCTAATAAGAACAAGGTGGAAGCCCCGGGGAAGGCACTTCAATCAAAAAACAATGTGCACCGGACGGGGGGGGAATCAACTATAATTATTCTTCAGAACTGAGAGTTCAACAACACCACCAACACCACCAACAACAGCAGTATCAGCAGCAACAGCAGCAGCAGCAACAACAACAACAACAGCAGTAGCAACATCAACAGCAACAGCAACAGCAACAGCAGCAGCAACAACAACAACAACACCAGCACCAACACCAACAATCATTTTAAGACTGCTCGCCCTTATCTGATCGAGTGTCCAATAACGCCTATTTCCCAAACCCTCGATTCCCGCCCCGATCGAATCCCCTTTCGGGGGTATACCTTTCTTTTCTGCAGGCCGGGCCCCGGCAAGCGGCGGGGCGGCCGCGGACCGTCGGCCTGACAAGCGGCAGCGCTGATCGGCGGGGCGGCCGCGGACCGTCGACCCGACCCCAAGAGGGACGGACAGGGGACCGACCACGACGACGACGACGACGGCGACGACGAGCGAACGCGAGAGCAAAAGAGAACGACAGCAGGTCCACAAGGACACGACGTAGGCCACGAAGGGCAACAGCGGGAACACGAAGGGAATGCGTATGGG